ACAAGGGGTTGAACACACACACGCACCAATGCACATATAGGTGTGAGCCTCAAGTAGCAGAGACAGCACGTACGTGATAAACCCTAAGGCAGCAAATGTCCCTAATACGGACGGGGCGGGGCGGGTACACTGATAACAGCTCTAAGATTCTGGGTGGATTGTGATGGCCAGGAAAGTCTTCTCCGGGGAACTGGGATGTGGAGAACCATGATCTTTCATACCAGTGCAGAAGAGAAAAATCATTTCAGATTTGCTAGGTTAGAATGAAGGAGAGAAAGAGTATCACGAGAAGAGACTCAGACATAGAGAAATGCGAAGTGTTTTTGTGAAGATTATAAAACAATTAGTTTTGCCGAGATGGATAATTTAAGTGGTAATGGGACACAATGCTAGAGGTGTGGTTAAGGAAAATCCAGGCTGAGAGGTTTGGGTTTGATCCTACTTCAGGGTCAATCCTACTTGGATTCAGATTGTTATTTAGATCCAAGAGGATCCAAATCCTAAAAAATAAGGATAGATATTTACATAAAAAGTGTCCATTTGGCCGGGCGCAGTGGCTCACATCTGTAATCTCAGCACTTTGGGAGGCAGAGGCGCATGGATCACTTGAGGTTGGAAGTCTAAGGCCAGCTTGGCCAAACCCATCTCTACTAAAAATACAAAAACTAGCCAGGCATGGTGGTGAGCGCCTGCAATCCCAGCTATTCGGGAGGCTGAGGCAGAAGCATCACTTGAACTTGGGAGGTGGAGGTTGCAGTGAGGCAAAATTGCACCACTGCACTCCAGCCTGGGCAACAGAGTAAGACCCCATCTCAAAAATAAATACGTACATACATACATACACAGTCCATTTATAGATCACTTTAATCATCTGCATCTGTTTTCATACAGATTACTCTTCTTTTAATTTTTTTAATCCAAAGTAGGATTTGCAGAATAACATTCCCACAAATTGCTATGAAAGGCGTTGAGGTAGGCATTCAGGAGTTAAAAAAGTCTGGAAACTAGTAACTGTTTTATCCCCCTTCTGGAGAATAACAATGCCTATTATGATGTTAAAGGCACTGAGAACTCCTGCAGTAAGGAGCCTAGTTTACCTCCTTATTCCCTCATATTTCAAAACTTCTTGTTTTGAGAACCTAGTTTGAGAAACGCAGAACTCTAGGCAATACAGAATAACAGACTATTTAAAAAAAATAGCATTCGCATACTTTAAAGTATGGACCACAGCGTTAAAGTGAAGAAGATAACACACATGGCGCTGGAGCTGGGAAATGAAGAGAAATGAAGGTGCTAAGAGGCGTGAACATTCTGTTTCAGATTAAAGTCAACCAGACACTCTTCCATAAACTGCCGGAGTTCAGTGGTTCTGTGAACACCTATCAAAAACATTTCCTGTAAGTCCAGATACGATTGTGTGAATCTCCAGGTAAGAGCAAAAAAAAAAAAAGAATTAAAATAAGAATAATCTGTATGAAAACAGGTATAGATGATTACAAGCAATTGATAAATGGACTCTTTCCTATGAAAATATATATCTTTGCAGATAATAATCCGAAATCAAAGCCATGTGTGGGTTAGAACATTTGCCTTTTAAACCAGATAAGACTGGTTCCTGCTTTGAGATCCTAGAATCCTGAAGAACAAGTCAGTCATCACACAAAACTAATGGAAACGCGGTGAGTTCAAAGGGCAAAGTAATTAACATTAGTGTACAAAACAGCAGTGGATTTATGATTTTCAACACTCTGAATCTCCATTCATCCAGAGTCTTCATTCTACGCATATGGAAGCGCTTTACAAATGTTTCTAATCCTTTCACACAGAGAGGACTTTCGGGCTCAGAAAATACTTGAGCTCTTTCAAGAGCCCGCTTAGTAAACACTCTACAGCAGCTCTCTCAGCTGGCGTTTTCCAAATGGCACCTGCGGGACTTGCCTTCCTTGAGATGCCAATGGACATGGCATGCAAAAGAGCTTCCATGGGCTGGCGTGGGGGTCAGGTTCATAGGTTTCCTGCAACAGAACTTTTCAGAGCCTTCTCAGCGTTCCATGCTGCGACTCTCCAGGGCTGGGGAGGCACTGTGCTCCATGTCCACCTTACTCACCCAGGACCCCTTCTTTCATGAGTCCTGTATACCACCGATGTTCTCGGAGGACCTTGTGGCAGACGGAAGGCCACCTGCCGCATGCAGGAGCTGGCTTGTTTCTTAGGTTGGAAGACCCTGAGCTATGATGACATGAGCAACCCAAACATCCCCAGTGAGACCGGTGGGCTCCCTGGTGTGGTAAAAAGAATTCTGCAAGAAGCCTTAGGCCCTCCCAGTGATGGCCACCTCCCCTCTAACCGGAAACAACCACGCCTTTCTTGTAGGTTTCACGAGGTAGCAGTGAGAATCCAGGGGGCCCTGTGTTTACAAGGAAAACACACTGCCCAGGTCCTACATCCCTGCCTCTCCTGAGTTTCCCTAGTTTTTCTCAGAACACTAATTACCTTGATCTTAAAACCCAATTTGCCCCCAAAGCTTGTATCAGGCCCTCAGGGTGTAAATCCTGCAAACTCATTTATGGCTCCTCTTGCCACTTAAATGTGTCCCAGCCTCTCTCGCTCAGGGACCTCCCACTGCTCCCTCCCATAGGCAGCACCTTCCCGGATCTTCCCAATGTCACTTCTTCAGAAGGGCCTTCCCCGGCCACCCTTGTGGAGGCACCGTGTGACAGCTGCTCTCTGGCCCATTCAGGTGTTTTATTTCCCTCATAACACCTAACACTGGCTAGGTGCTGTAGCTCACACCTGTAATCCCAGCATTTTGGGAGGCTCAGGAGGGTGGATCACGAGATCAGGAGTTCAAGACCAACCTGGCCAACATGGTGAAACTCTGTGTCTACTTAAAATACAAAAATTAGCCAGGCATGGTGGCACGCGCCTGTAAACCCAGCTACTTGGGAGGCTGAGGCAGCATAATCGCTTGAACCTGGGAGGTGGAGGTTGCAGTGAGCTGAGATCGCACCACTGCACATCAGCCTGGATGACAGAGTGAGACTCCTATCAAAAACAAACACTTAACATTAACTGAAACCACCTCATTCTCCTACGTTTTGTTGTCTGGCTCCTGCCTCTGAAACGTAAGCTCCCTGGGGACAAGGGCACTGCGGGCTAGTGCCTGGGATCTAGGAAACCCTCATGAAGTATCTGTGGAGTGTTAGAAGTTTAGGAAAACGGCTAAATTCAGTAAGAAGGGAAGGGGGATGAGGCTCCTGTGATCCTGTAACGTTTTAGTTTTTACCTGGATGGTGGCTACATGAGGCTTTGCACTTTGCAATCACCCACTGAGCTGTAAATTAATATTTGGGGTCTTCCAAGTCCTAATTTAAACGAAAATAGTTGTTGGTATATTCGTGTTTAGATAATCATAAATATAGGAAAATGATCATTGCTACTATTTTTGAGGACCCATGATGAGCCCTAACTGTGCGAGGCACTTCACAGACGTTGTCACATTGCATCCTCCAAAGAGTCCTACCGGTAGGTCACCACAACCCACTTTACAGAAGAAGAAGCTGTGATGCGCAGGGACCGGGTCACTTGCTCGTGGTCACACAGCTAAGACGCACAACTGGGATCCCAAGCCAGCGTGTTCTAACTCCAAAATCCACATGCTGTACTAACCTCTGCCTGAAAGTCACTTCTCACGTCCGAACTGGAGGTGCCGTTATCTCTCCCGTACCGGCCTTCACAGGCTGAGAGGCTGGAACTCCACGGCTCTGCCTCCTCTTGGCTAACTGAACACCACAGGGGAACCAACTTCACCAACAGATGGCAGCAAACACATCAGCAATGGTTGAACAAAGACAGGGCCAGAAAGAGCCCCATTTGCCCCACTGCAGCGGGGTGAGGACCCCCAAGGTAATGAGACAGTCCACTCCCACCTGGGGTTCCATAGAACCTCAGCGGTGGGGGCAGCGCCTTCTGAGATCTAGGGGGGTCCTGTCTGCTCCTGCATTTGCAATCTGATCAGGTTCTGGTGTTTTTCTCCCTGTCATTTTGAACTTCTTTGGAAGAAACAGCACTTTTGGGAGAGATCTGGAGAGAGATCTGGGGAGAAAATGCACTTTGATAATTTTTTTCATTTTTTCATTTTCATTGTTTTATGTCTCTATTATTAAACACAATTACAGGCATACCCATTTTTAGACTGCATTCTAGCCTGGGCAATAAAGCAACACCCCTGTTCTCTCTCCCTCTTCCTCTTCCTCTTTCTTCCTCTCCTTCATTTTTCTTATTCTTTCTCTTTCTTTCTTTCTCCTTAAAAAATATATATATATATATGAAATAGGAAAAATCAGATATCAAATATCAAGTTCAAAAAAAAAAAAAAAAGTTTTTTTCCCAGACAACTACTCGCATGCTTGGATCAGTGTACCGTAACAACAACTGAAAAAGATGTGTTTCTCCAAATAAAGGGCCACCTTGCAGTGATTAGCATGGCTGCCAAAGCATAATCCCTTTGCAAACAACTAATGGTGGCACTGACAGGCCTCTACAGGAAGATGTTCGGCAGGCGCGCGTACTGTGGGGAAGGCTCTGTCTTCCACCTTCGGAAACTCGGATGGTAATGGAATCGTTTGCTTTTCCTTCTGTGTGTCTGAGAGATCCCCCCCATGTCTGTGGGGTTTTCCATAAAGGTGTCAGGCCCTATCAGAAGTTTGATGGCAGCCACACGTTATCAAATAAATAAAAAGAACACCCTTTTGTCTCACCTTTGAAGTTTCCTTAAGTTACTCTGAAGAGCATCTCCCTCTGCCACGTTTCCTGTTTCTTGCATAATGAGATACTTTCTAATTAGCATATCACAAATATTCCTGATTTTCTTTGCAAGTCCTGATACATTTTTAAATGTTTCTTTTAAAGCACATCAGGATTTTTCACACTCCATAAAAGAGGTACGGGAATTCAAGCAATGCGTCAACTCAATTCTCCAATTTCTTCTTTTCTTTTTCTTCTCTCTCTTTTTTTTTTTTTTTCTTTTTTTTAAGCCAGCTGGCAGCATGGAATAGCAGGAGGGTCACAGCACTGAAAGCCAGAAGTCCTGGATTTGGGTTTTGGCTGGGCCACTAATTAGCTATGTCATTTTAGGCAAATTGCTTCACCTTTGAGAGCCTCTGTTTCCTTTTCTGTATAATGACGAGACTGGACCCAATGAGAAGTCCCTCACAGTTTAAAGCACTGTGCTCTATTAGTGAAGCTTGAATACTTCCTTGTCTCCTTTTTCAAAACCTGGAACAAGTTATTTTCTTTGATTTAAAAATTCACAGTGAACTACATCCTAAACAGGCAGACACTGGTTTAAAAAAAAAAAAAAAAAAAGAATGTGATGTGATTTTAAAGGGACACAGATATTTAATTGCAGAATTATAAATTATCTTTAAACAGCGAAGAGGCTTTTTGACTAGTTTAATATATTGACAAATACATACACATGTATACATTCTAATCTGCCTTTAGATCAGTAAATATAACTGACATTAACTAATCCTAATATAAAGAATATTTTGCTCACACCTGTAACGCCAATCCTAATATAAAGAATATTTTGCTCACACCTGTAATCCCAACACTTTGGGAGACCGAGGCGGGTGGATCACCTGAGGTCAGGAGTTTGAGACCTTCCCGGCCAACATGGAGAAACCCTGTCTCTACTCAAAATACAAAAATTAGGTGGGCGTGGTAGCAAGTGCCTGTAATCCCAGCTACTAGGGAGGCTGAGGCAGGAGAACTGCTTGAACCCAGGAGGCGTAGGTTGCAGTGATCAAAGATTATGCCACTGCACTCCAGCCTGGGTGACAGAGCAAGACTCCATCTCAAAAATAAAAAAAATAAAAAATTGTGACAAGGAAAATAAATACCTAGCTATCAAAAGTCTTTCTAGTCTTTTGTATAGTCGGAAAAAACATCCATTCAATTCAGTAAGATCATTTGGATCATCCCAGTGACATGTGGGTTTCAGGATTTGACTTGTAATATCAAACTCACAAAAATACAGAAATTTATGTTGGTTTCAATGACGACTTCCCTGTATTCAAGGGGCATGCTGGCCTTCTGTGCTGGACCCTTTAATCTGTCTCATCAAAACTGTCCGGTGGCAGGTGGAGAAGGCTCTGTAAGCCCCTTCATCCCCTGGTCCCGCCACCTCTGTCATGCCAAGACACACCAACACCCACCATATGGCCCCTGCCCTTCCCGGCTGCTCACCATCCCCAGTCCCCCTGCCACCCCTGAAATGCTTGCTGTCATCCTCTTGGATCACTGCCAGCTGAGCTCCATGGGTGCCTGTCACAGGGCGACCAGCTCCAATGTCACCCGGATGGACACCCTGTCTTGCTCCCCAGCGCCGCGATCTTGCCCTGTTGCATTTGTCTGTGTACGGGGCTGCATCTGCCCTACTGCAGTAGGAGCAGGAGTTCAGAGGCACTTTGGTCACCTCTGCAGTCCCAGGACCTGGCAGCTCGTGACACCCTACAACACTGGGGAAAGGGAGAGAGAGAATGGGCCGCAGCAGGAGCGCGGCGATGAGCAAGGCACTGTGGGGTCCCAGGAACTGCCTCTCCTAATCCGAAGGTGTAACCCAGGACAGCCGTCGAGCCGTGGTCCCAATAATAGATCTTATTCAGAAAGAGAAGGAATCCTGAAGATGCAGTAAGGCGCAACGCCATTCGGATATAAGGGGAGCGTGGGGCGGGGTGGCGGAGGACAGAAGCCTACGCTTTTCAGCAGAAAAGCAGCAAGAACAACACGTGTGACGATGACATAGGGGCGGTGTGTACAATACAATGAAACAGCACACATGGCAAACTGCTTCCGATTACTACGCAACCATGAAAACAATGATTCCATTTCTAGATTCGGAAAAGCAATCACAGAAGCTGAGTACAGAGAAGTTGACTACAAAACAATACAGATAACATGGTCATGCTTTGTAAGGTATTTTTCACATCTGTATAGGTGAAGATATTTAGATACATGGGAAAGTCTAGAAGGATAATGATCAAAACATCAATAGGGACATGATTCAAGAAATGTGTGGTTTTCTCCTCCCTTCCTTCCTTCTTTCTCTTTTTCTGTATTTCCTAATCATTTTCCACCATGAACACGAACCACTTGGGTAATTTTTTTAAATCTCTGAGGAAGTAAATAGCCCATCTATACATATTAAACAGTGCGGGAACGGGGCCGGAGGCTCGTGACCAGTCCTGCGGGACGACCACAGGCAGAGGCAATGGGAATGGAAGGTTGGAGCAGAGCTGAGCGTAGGACAGCAGGAGAGCTGCCGGGTGGGTGGCTGCCTGGGTGGGGATCTGCAGGGAAACTAGAGCTCTGGCAGGACCCCAGGCTTGCAGCCTGCATAACGAGGAGATGCAGGTCACAGTGTCAGGAACAGGCAGCAAGAACAGACTGTGGGTTTCCCTGTGGACATGCTTTGGCAGAAGTGTGGACAGGTCATCCGGAGGCTGAGAGGCAAGGGAGAGCTTAGGGATGGGCTGTGCATGGAGGTCAGGCATGGCACACCCCCCCGAGGGTCCCCAGGGGAGTCTGCACTTCCCCAGCGGCATCCTTCCAGCTGTGCTGGGGGGGCCTATTTACTGCCTCCCTTCCTCGATGTGGACTCCAGGAGGCAGAGGCCCAGTTATTGACTTCTACCTTCTACTCCAATGCCTGGATCAGTTCCTGGGGTATAGATGGCACTCAAGAAATGTTTGAGAAGTGAATGACTGACTCCTGTAGGGGAACAAGTGGATGAGTTATCATTACCCCAGGAGAGAACAGGGGGATGGGCAGGGCTGAACCCCGGGAATGCTCTCAGAGGCCTGGGAGGGCACTGTGCCTCCAACAGCATCACTGCAACAAGGACAGGGCGGCTTTCCAGAAACCAAGGAAGCGGGGCTGCCAAGCGGACAAGGACACCAGCAGCACTGGGGCCAGGCTGAGGAGAAGGAGACAGGGCTGGGGAATGTCCCTCCGTTCTGCAGCTGCCTGGGATTCAGGAGGTGGGAGGATCCCAGAGGGAAGGGGGCAGAAGATAAAAGGAATGAAAGCAGAACATCTTTTAAGTTATGCTGACAAGGTAAAATAAGTAGACCAAGAAGCTGAATCAGCAGAACTTCAAATTTGGAGAGGACCTGCACACGTCAGTATGCGGGAGGCAGGGAAGCCAGGCAGCCGCAGCACGGGCTTGCATGAGATGAGCAGTCCTGCGGGATGAGCAGTCCTGAGGGATGACCAGTCCTGTGGGATAACCAGTCCTGTGGGATGACCAGTCCTGTGGGATAACCAGTCCTTGTGGGATAACCAGTCCTACGGGATAACCAGTCCTACAGGATAACCAGTCCTGAGGGATGACCAGTCCTATGGGATGACCAGTCCTGCGGGATGACCAGTCCTGTGGCATGACCAGTCCTGCAGGATGACCAGTCCTACGGGATGACCAGTCCTGCAGGATGACCAGTCCTGTGGCATGACCAGTCCTGCGGGATGACAAGTCCTGTGGCATGACCAGTCCTGCAGGATGACCAGTCCTACGGGATGACCAGTCCTGCGGGATGACCAGTCCTGTGGCATGACCAGTCCTGCAGGATGACCAGTCCTACGGGATGACCAGTCCTGCGGGATGACCAGTCCTGCTGCATGACCAGTCCTACAGGAGGACCAGTCCTGCGGGATGACCAGTCCTACGGGATGACCAGTCCTGTGGCATGACCAGTCCTGCGGGATGACCAGTCCTGCGGGATGACCAGTCCTGAGGGATGACTAGTCCTGTGGGATGACCAGTCCTGCGGGATGACCAGTCCTGAGGGATAACCAGTTCTGCAGGGAAACCAGTCCTACCAGGCAGAAGGATCACCCTAGAGAAGGAGAAGGCTTGTTTGATCTCCCTGTCCTACAAACCCCGGGGGCCCTCCCAGCCTCCACCACACAATTTAGCTAATTATCCACTCATCTCCCTCCCTGCTGCTTCACACATCCTCTTGCCTCAGTCAGATGCCACAGACCAAATCTCCAGGACTTTCCAGAGTAAATTCTCAGCAAGACTGGGTAGCTGACTGTTTTGATCCAATAGGGTAAGTGTCAAAAAATAAGAATAAAGCTACACACATTAATACATACGCACTAACTATTAAACAGACACTACTGAAAAAGACCATTTTTAAAGTAGCACTTTAACATTTCCCTTCCCTTCTTCCATAAGAACAAAATGCCCCATTATTCCTGGGCAAGGGAGCAATCATCCCCCAGGCTGAAGGCAGCTAACTGCAAAGTGATATTCACGTGGACCACCCTCCCATTAGCTGCGATTCAGCCAGGGGCAGGACGGCTTTTAGACAAGGCTTTGGAGGGAGCTCCCTGAGTTGCCTCTCAGTTTGGATGGAGACTGATGAGGAAACGTAGAAATAATAGAATTAATTCCCACACCTGTTCAATACTAGTTAGCAAGTAAGTTGAATCACACACATTATTTTAAGTGTTTCATTCTGAAAACTTCTCATCCAAGTGTTCACTTTGCAATTTAATTGTGCATACTTGTGTCTCTTCTCCTGCAGGGTGCTCTTCAGTTAGTGCAGTCCATGCCGTTTCTTTAATTAATGGTGCAGATTCTTTCGGCTGTAGGCTCGTCTTGGGGGAGTAACGTAGGCATGTGTGCACGGGGCCGTGGGCCTTTCTGGACACTCGGGTCCTATTTGATAAATTATTGCTTCAAAGCATTAAATGGATGCCAGTGTCCTAGAAACCTGTCACCAGGCTGTTCCGAACCCAGGGTGTGCACTTACGATGTTTCTGAGAGGTCCATCCCTGCAGCAAGATGCTACCAAAACCTGTCAGGGAGCCCCCAGCCGGGAATGAGACCTAGGCTGGAAGTGAACTCAGAGACTGGCCATGGCAGCTGCTGGCTTCAGCAAAGCTTGCCCTACTCCTGACCCAAACCAGAGCAGCTGAGGCCAGAGCATTCTCGGAATGTGTCCTATCAAAGTAGCATCACGCGGCAGCTAAAATGCCAAATGTCACTTCAAAAAGAAGTCAGGGTGGAAGTGAAGGGCCTGCATTTGCCCCACATTTGCACGCTTCCAGACAAATCATCCCCCACACGCCATTCCAACCATACCTTCCGCTGCAGAAAATCTTCTTGCTTGCTCTCGTGTATTTTTGCAATAGGAGAAATCAAAGTGCTAAGTATAGCACTTCCTTTTCTTAAGCCTTAAGATGCTTACATATAGATTTTTTAAAGTATACTATAAACATATTTATAATAAACTTCACAAAAGATTTTCCCACACTGAGGTTATTTTCAAAACATATGTTAAATATACAACCATTCATTTTTCTTCAGTAATGAGCCTGGATTTCCAAGCCACCCTTGTCATAAGTTACACTTTCCAGGAAGAAGAAGTGAACATGTGGAAATGATAAGAACATTTCTGGGACACTGGGGTCCAGTTAGTGTTTGGAAGCAAAAATTTATCAAATAGCACCCGAGTGTCCAGAAAGGCCCACGGCCCCGTGCACACATG